GGGGAGGGGTGCTAGTGGGTGCTTCGGCAGGGGACAGGGTGCCAGTGGGGACAGAGTTCTGTGGGAGGGGAGAGGGGACAGGATGCCGGGAGCCAGTGGGGACAGGTTTCTGGGGCTGGGGAGAGAGAACAGGGGAGTGGGGAGAAGGGGGCACTGGGGGCAGAAAGTCCACTGCACCCACCTCCTCCTAGGACCCCCTCCCCCAAGGGAAGCCAGTGCGTGCCTCCTCCGGGGCCAATGCGTGCCTCCTGCAGCGCAGCCAAACCCCCGCGCGCGCCTGCCCATGAGCCAAACCCCCCTTTCACAGCACAGCCGACCGGTTGTTGGCCACGGTCTTAATCCAATTAAGTGGTTCCCACACATGTGCTTAGCTAGTGCCTACTTCTCTTTATGGGCTGTAGTGCTGAATGTACTTGTGCTTTGTGGCTTGTGAGTAGATTGTGTTTCCTTTCATAAAGTTTGTTTACTTGGCCTTTGCACAACAGACCAGACTGTTTCAGTGGTGGTGCAAGAAATGGTTTGTAATGTGACTTAAAACACGCACCGTACATTGAAGCAAGGCTGAATTTTCATTCTGAAATTAGGCTGCTTGAGCTTGTTGGAGCCTGTCAGATTCCAAAGCTCTGAAGTTGGAACAAGTGCACCCAGCTTGATTGTGTGATGAAGTCACAGAATAACTGGTTAAATTGTGCTTTGCATTTTATTTGGCGTGTGTACGCTATATTGTTAATATTTAGTCTATTTCACCTTCTTTATAGGCCTACAACCTTGGATGCCTTTGTATTTGGTTTTCTTGCACCTCTTTATAAAGTGCACTTCCCTAGAGTCCAGTTACAAGAGCATTTGAAACAGCTTTCCAATCTGTGTCGCTTCTGTGATGACATCTTGAGTGGCTACTTTAGACTTAATGTTACAGGTAAGCAATGTTTGTTTTTCCTCTTTAACATGTATATTCAAAAGAAGGATTCCTCTTTCCACTAGATGTTAAATTGAAACTGTATTAGCCAACTACAAAACTACAATTGTGGCTTGTGGTTTGTCATGTTGAGGTTGTGGAGAAGAAATGAAGTCATGATCAGTATCATTTGTATAGTAGTAGAAAGTAAAGCCTTTGAACAGTAGAGTGACAACAGCACTTGTTTAACATTTTAAGTGGCTTCTCCTGCTCCATTCTCTTATTATCTGTTATTTGGAAATGAGAACAAATCTACATTTGTTCTAGTGTATGAAACTGAGAAACCTGATTGTTCCTGTACTTTAGCTTAAACAGACATCTCCTTTGGGTTAAGAAGATAACTTGAGTCTGTGGCCAACTTTGGTGGTCCTTAAATCGAGCAGATTTCCCATTGAAATCAGGGGGAAGGTTTTGCTGAAGTATCACAGCATTTGGCTCTTATTTACCAAATTTTTCCTCCTGTATTTATAATCTGTCCCTTCAATCAGGTTTCTGTTCCTTTTGTCAGAAACAACCTACCAATGTATGTCACTCCAAGACCCGTAGCGTAGTTCTTTTTCCCTCTTCTTGTGACTATCGTAAGAAGTTCGTTTGCTACTTTTGCCCAGCACATGGATATGGTCCTTTAACTCAAGTAGAAGAGTTTCATGCTTTTAGATCAGTGGTTCTCAAACTTTTTGGCCCTTGGACCACCTGGCTTAATGTTAACCTTTCCGTGGACCACAAGTTGCCAATGGAAACTCACCATTAATTACATAATTATGCCCAAGCCATTTTGCTACTGCTGCAGCTAAGGAGAATGATTTGATTTAAATTATTTAAAAGAATAAGCGTTTTAACTTTCTCATGTTAGTTTATCAAACTTCATTTTAAGTAAAGTAAAATATTTATTTATGTCCAAGAAAAAGGGTTTCAATATTTTCTTTCTTTATGGCAGGGGTGTGGGGCCATTGACCCACAGAAAAATCAGTTGGAGAACCACACAAGTGGAAAGCAAAAAACTCTTCCAAAAAAACCCAAACCCTCACTGATGTGCTCCCAGATTGAGACACTTTATTACTCTGGTGCTCCAGATCCACTGGGTGAGGGGAGAGGACAGGGAGGACTAAAGGAAAGGGCCTCCCATAGGCCAGATTTACTTTCCTGGGGTCCCAGAGTTAGTGGATTTTGTGGCCTCCTCCCCCTTAGCCTTAGGGTAGAGACAAAAATGAGGGGTTCAGTGTGTGGGACAGGGCTACCAGCAAATGGGATTGGAGTGCAGGATCTGGGCAGGTGGTGGGGAGCAGAAGGGGGTGAGAGTGTGAGGTCTGGGTGGGAGATAGGGTACAGAAACAGGCTGGGAGTAGGGTGTCTGGCTGGGGAAAGGGAGCAAGAGCAAGGGAGGGTGCAGTGTGTGGCCAGGAAGGAGGGTGCAAGAGCAAGAGAGGACGTAGGAGCAAGCTGGGAGTGCATGGGCTTGGCAGGGGGAGGGTGTGAATGAGGGGAATTGGGGTTCAGGTGTCTGGACATGGGGGGCACTTATTTGACTTCACACCCCCATTGTTCCCAGCCAGTGGAAGCAGCGGGGAAAGCCTCTGGACAGCGAGTCACTGCACTGCCATTTCCCCAGCGGGGTGGAGAAGTGGGGAAGCTCAGCCCCCCCCTTCTACAGAGCTGAGAGCCCTCACTGCTGCTCCAGCTTTGTGGTTGCTGCGCAGCCGCAAGGCTGGAGCACTAGGTCCGGCTTGTCACATGGGGTTGGGGGTGAAGAAATGCCAACCTTCTCCACCAGACGTGGCTCGTGGAGAGAGGGGCTGCATAGGGCCAGTATGCAAAGTGAGTTGGGCAGGAGACTGGGGGACAGCTGAGAAGAGGGTTAGAGAGTGTGGAAAAGGTGGAAGCTGAGTAGGACGGAGCAGTGGGGTTTTGATGTTAAGGTGGAGAAATTCTGGTCTGGGTGAAACCTGGCAGGGAAGGGACCTGCATGAACGGGTAGTACCCAGGGCAGGGATGGGGCCATGCTTAGGCTGTTTGCATAGCTGAAACAGGGCGTTTGCAGTGGATACAAGGAAGGTGTGGGCTTTGGTCTGGACGTGATTAGCTCACTCAGTTATTGCAGTCAGTCCCCCACACCACCTCTTCTTCAGGCCCCTGTTGGATCGGTGCTCTCCGCACCACAGCGTTGTTGGTGCAGCTGGGGTTATGTCTACGCTACCTCCGGTATTCCAGAAAAACACTGCTGCGACCAGGGAATGCATCCTGTTTTTTTGGATCAGTTTCCCAAAAAAAACCCAAATGGGCATGTTCTTTCGGAAGCCCTGAATTCCTCATTTTATGAGGATTAAGGCCTCTTCCGAAAGAGGAGGTTTTTCCCTCATTTGGCCCCATGTAGACAGGCCAAATGTCAGAAAAGCCTCTTCTGAAAAAAGAATTGGAAAAAGGTATGCAAATTGTGATTTGCAATTTGTGCACCTTTTTCTGAAAAAGAACTGCAGTGTAGACATAGCCAGGGTCGGAAGAGGCTCAGGGCTGCTGGTCTCTGGCTTCCCCAGAGACCAGCTTTCCTCCTCATCTCCACCTTATCTGCTGCTGGGAGGGTAGAAGGAGTCATCCGAGGCAAAGCTGCAGGTGTCAGGCAGCTTGGAGAAATCCTCGTACTCCTCATAGTCTTCCTCCTCCTCCACTGCCACCACCTGCTCCTGCTGCTCCCTACTCCAGGCCTGTGGCTCCTTCTCCCCCTCTGGGTTGGGCTGGACCTTCTGCTGCTCCCCCTTCTGCCTTCCCCCAGGGCCCTGCAAATCCCCAGCCTCTATCCCTCCCCAGACAGGAGCACCATGCTCCCTGCACTGGGGCTTGTGAGAGGGGCTAGGGGGTGAGGAAAAATTACCCTCCCAAGGGGGCCACTGACCAAGCTGCTATTCCTGATCCTCACACAGAGAAGGGGACACCCCCATGTACCTAGACCCCCACAACTTACTCTCAAACTCCCACAGTTACCTCTCCTCTTACACTTCACAGCTACCCCACTCAACTACTTAGAGGCTCCTACAGATAAACCCCCTCACTCACTGAGATCCCCTGCCCTGTCCACATCCTAGCACCCAGTGTAGACAGCCTAGCTACCTTACATCTGTCTCCCAGCCATATGTAAGAGTGGAGTGGACAGGGTCTGGCAGGTTCCGCATTCCTAGAGCTCCCGCCTTTGTGCGGGACGGGAGAGGGAGTGGGTTAAGGGAGTTGTCATGGTTGGAGGACGCATCAGGGCCTGCCAGGTTGTCTGGAAAGGACGGCAACTCCAGCAGCTCCCAAAGAAGCTGGGATAAACCCTCGGCTGAGCAGAAGAGGGGAGGCTCCACACTAGGAAGTGCTACCATCTTGAAATCCCCACGCATTCCGCTTTCACATTTCCATCAGGAGCAGATGGAGGAGCGGTGAGAAATCCCCCCTGTTCCCTCTGCCTGGTGGCCATGCTTTTCTGCATGCCCCTTCTGCCCCTTCAGCATAACCGCCCCACTGCTGGGCATCCCCTTCACGCATGTCTATTTACGAACATCAACCTGCAATTGGAAAATTCCCAGGAGCTGGAGTTTCTCTCTGCGAGCCGGGTCTGGTGCGGAGAATCGGGGCTTTGTTCACCTCCACCCCTCTGTGTGCTTTCCTATCCAAAAGCCAGAGCTGGTGCTGCAGCCTCACAGCTGTGCAAGGTCCATGCTGCGTGGAGGAGGAAGGGGGCTGAAATTGAGTTGTGGACCTCCTGGGAGGAGGCCATGGCCCACACTTTGAGAACCACTATTTTAGATCCAGAGATCCCAGGTTCAGTCTGGCAGATAATCCAATTGAAACTTTCCATTGTTGTAACAAGGAACCTTGTTTGTAAAGGGTCAAGAACCACTTTATTCTTGCCTTTAAAGCATTTCAAAAATTAGAAGGGTGCACCTGTATCTATATAAGAGTTAAGGTTCAGGGTTTCAGTTTAAAAACAAAAGGCTACAATCTTATCTGTAATACAAAGTATTTCTTTATTCTCTATACAAAGTATTATTCTCTGTTTCTAGTGGTGGAAAAACTGCATGATCTTTCTTTAAAAAAAAAAAAAAAGCTTTGTAAGAGACTAGTAAAGCTCTTCTAAATTTCTTTCTGCTTTGGTGATTTAGGCTTATCTCCATCTGGACAGGATACAGTAGATGCAAATCTGCAGAAACTCACACAGCTTGTAAATAAGGAATCCAACTTGATTGAAAAGGTTATTTTTCTTCAGTCTTTATTTTCCATTAGTTCTTGTGACTTTGCTGTTGACTTTTCTTACTGTTCTTGCATATTGGTCTATATAACAGAGTTATGTCAATGCAAAGGCACTTACGTTGATCTAACTGTAAAAAACTACACTAAAATGTAGTTCCCACCGATGTAACTCAGCCACTACATTGACTTACACCTCTCAAAGAAGTAGAGTTAGTAGCACTTTAATCAATGTAGTCAGGACCACACAGTGTCAATGTAAACACTGCAGAGCATGCTTCAATGTTGCTGCCTTTCTGTCAATGTAAACACTGCAGAGCATGCTTCGATGTTGCTGCCTTTCAGTCCTGTGTTGCTGCCTTTTAGTCCTGTCTCACAATACCCCATGTTAACAGTTAAATCAGTGCTAGCGCTTCAAGTGAGGATGTGCACTGCTGAAACAAGCATAGTATGGAGGTGTAAAACCTATTCAATTACTGTGGTAGTTGTATGTTGATGTAAATTAGGTTGACTTAATTCTGTACTGTAGACTTGGCCTAAGTAATCATTGTAACTGTACAATGCAAATTCTTCCTTTCTTTGTTTCTTTGCAAAGGTTAGTTTGCATAGAAAAACATGAACATAATGCCATACAACTATATATTTGAGAGATCTTGTTTGTGAGCAAGCGACTCTGTCTGCTTGTTCATTTGTTCAAGAATTCTTCCTAAGAGCTAGGACCATCAAATCTGCAATGTAGCTTCCTTTTAAAGCAAGGCAAGAGTTTGGTTTTGCAGGGGAGGAGCTGAAGCTCCACCGCAATATGTGTTTAAGGAATGTAGCTTCCTTTTAAAGCAAGGCAAGAGTTTGGTTTTGCAGGTGAGGAGCTGAAGCTCCACCACAATATGTGTTCAAGGACACACAAACCATACAGAAAAAAGACAGAATCACCAGGCAGGTGAAAGGAGCTGGCTGAGGGCACCTGCTCCCCTGTCCGGGGCTGCCCCAGCTGTTTCTTTTGGCAGGGGGGTTGCAGCTCTCTCCCTCCCTTTGCACGGGAACATTGCTGGTTGTTCCCCTTCATCAGTGAGTGAGGGGAAAGTGCCCAGTTTGCTCCATTCCTCACTGTGACTGGGAAGCGCAGAGGTTAGATGAACCTGGACCTGCCCCAGTTGGGGGACATGCACCCCTACCCTGGCTGTGCCCGCTGAAGTTGCAGCAGCCAAGGAGAGGCACTTACCTGACCCCAAGCTGCTGTGGTGAGAAAGGGAAGGGGTTGTCCTCTCTCCTGGGGGTAGCCTGCATAGTGAGCTCCTTATTGCCAGTCCCACCCCAGAGCAATGATTTTAATGGGGGAAAAAAATTGAGTTAGGTACCTGAGCAACACCAGGTATACCTTCTAGTTCAAAATAAAACAGTAACAGATTCTTGTTCTTCCTGAAGTAATTGTTTTGTTGTATTCAAAGCAGTACAGTTGACAAAGAAAATACAGTGTATTCAAACATTGAAGGATAACACAACATGTTAGTAGGAGTATGTATTATTTGCGTCACAGTAGCACCTGCACCATGGCCCCCTTGTGCTAGTCTCTACACCCATGTAAAATATGCAGGTCTTGCCTCAGATCTTGTCATCTTCCAAAGGCTTGCATCAGCAGTTTTCTTTTGAATAAATGCTGGTAACTAGCAGAATTTGGTTAACTGTGTCTCTATGAATAATTCAGATTACTAATTCCTTATTCAGGGAGAAAATAATGAGAGAGGCAGTTTTTCAGTTAGGCCTGAAGTTCAGGTAATCCATATCTGTACTAGAGACCAAAAGTCCTTCCCATGTAATTGTTCAGGGCCTTGTGTGAATACAGGCAGTCCCCGAGTTACGCGGATCCGACTTACGTCGGATCCGCAGTTACGAACGGGGCCGTTCCTCTCCCTGGTCTCCAGCAGACCAGGGAGAGGAAGCAAAGCGGCGGAACACGTGGGCAGCGGACAGGGCTGTCCGCTG